GCTGCACCTGGACTAGACGAGCTTTGAAGGTCCCCTCCAAATGAACTACCTATACAAGCTATACACATCCAGTGTGTGTGAGTCCTAGACACCCATGCTGGCAACTCCTAACTGTACAATACTCAACTGATAAAATCTAGACACTTGTCTCCTTGGCCATTTCCAGTTCATTAATTCTCTATTGATAGATTAAGTTTGCTCAGCTGAAGTCCATGACACAAGTTTCCACACACTGCAATTAAAGTGATGATTTCTTTTCAGTTGTACTGCATCAGCCTCCTTCAGCACTTGATCACAGATGGAAGAATTTGGTTCGTGGGCTTAATACTATGTCAATGAGGGGTGTAGTGCATCATATTCTTTATGACCAGAAATGCACAGGTCTGGAGACAGTTATGTTTACAAAATGGGAAGTATTCCCTCATTTCAATACAGAGCAAAAATAATGTTTTGTAATCAAAAACCAGGGAAAAAATACGAACAGGACACTGTGAGTCTAACCCTTGTGAAGTGCCATTGGAATAAGCTACATTTTGTTTATCTGATTCATGCACTGAATCAGGAAAGGCAAGTTTGGGGAAGACTAAATTTTTACAAGTGTAATGTTTTCTTACCTATTGGTAAGCACAATACAGGTGAGATCCCACAGATACCTCCTACCAAGTGTAACAGTGCAATCCACATTGTGGCAAAAGTTGCCACCAAGCTGAGCTTAAATATAAAACATCTTGCCATGTCCAAGACCCATTTACAGTCCTCAGGGGATGCTGACAGATCTTTCTGCTGGCATATACTCAAAATCATCCACGATTGTCTCCAAATTGCTCTGTTCTCATGGATAGCAAGAAGTATGAACAACGAGATTCTAAGATAAGAATTTCTGTCTTAGCAGCAGAAGGCACAGCGAGATAAATTTAATAGTTGAAATGAAATTCTGAAAACGTGGCTTGTAAGGACAACATGATAGGATGAAGTTCACATCTTTTGCTTGGAAAATGTCTTTTTTCTTTTCCTATTTGCGTTCTCAACAATGGTTGGATCGTTTTTATTCGTATATGAAAAAAGAACCAAACCCAGAAAGTTTCAACTAGGAAAGTGAATGTTCTTCCTTTTCTAATAACTGGAGATGTGTCTGCCTATCTTTGTGCATACCAAGTCTCTTAAACAAACAAACAAGCCAACAAAACAAAAAAAAACAAAACAAAACAAAACAAAAAAAAAAAAAGCAGTGCACTGAAATTACATAACATTAATAATCTGTGATCTCCTTCCTTAAACTGTTCTGTTACTTTCCCCAAACCACAAAAAAGCAGCTATTCGATTTCTGTGTTACACACTGCCTGTTGTTTGTCAGTAGGAAAAATTCAGAGTAATAACAATGCTTATTGCTTTAGGAGCAATAATAAAATGTGTGCTTGCCTTCAGATTAGCTATCACTATTTTTCCTGCAGAGACTAAGAGAAGTATAAAGAAGTGAAAATCCATGTTGTTGTATATAAAATAGTCTATAAAGAACTGCATGGGGAGTTAGCTGTGTTGACATTAATGGGTCTCATGCAGCTAAATTCCTGCTCACTACTTATAAAACATGCAAGATATGAAATTTAGGATCTTTATCATAAAACACAAATTAAATCAACACAGTCTACTTAAGAGAGGAGGAATACATTTAATTTCATTAGAAAATAATAAGCCACACCAGCATTTGGACAAGAATGAAGCCTGTCTGCTAGAGTAATTTTTTTATTTTATTTATTTTATTTTTTTTTGTAGCACAGTTTTATACCCTTGTATCACTACCAGCATGCCAAGGTCTCCCCGGTACAATGGTTCTCAGGCCAACAGGATGCTCTTTAAGTCCTTCTTGGATGGTGGAAAGCTTTCCCAGCCACAGTTACCACTATATCTCCGATGCAGCTATCATAATGCAATAAAGTAAAAGAAACTCTATTCTGGAATAATTCTCAGCTTGAGGAGAGAAACAGGAGCGAAGTTGGGAGAGAAAGTAAAGGAAGTGGAAGAGAAATATTTGGAGCAAGGTAACATGATGCATCAGCGCAAAGGTGGTGAGGAAAAAAAAGTTGTTTTCTAAGCCTCAATCAGATGACCCGTCTATTGGACCAAGTGTCAGTAGCTGATAGCACAGAGCCTACATGGAATGCATGGGCTGATGACATGGAGGCGCTGCAAAACAGGAACCTGTATTTCTGAGTTCAAGAGAAGCCAGCAGTCCCTGCCTGCCAGAGAGGTTCAACACTCAGCAACAGCTTTCTTCCATGAGGGATAGCCCTCATATCTCTAAAATGTTGTATATTAGCACACTGAACCTCTAATTTAGAAAAGGAAAATCTAGCCTGGCTAGCAAGGTTTGAAAAATTTTCCAGCCTCTGCCTTAGACCATGCTGACTGTCTAATTTAACTGGAAGTTAACCAACCAGAAAGGCTGTGCAGCTAGGAGAAAAACTCTCAGGATGACAGAAAGGCTCATGGAGTCTTCAAAAACCTTTTTAACAAAGCATGTTTTCCTTTCTGTTCTCCATCCTTACCTCCTGCTCTTCTCATGCTTGCAGATCTGCAGAGATGATCACAGGCACAGTGCGCGACCAGAGTTACCATTAGTTAGTCAGATTTTGGTGTGACCAGAGTTAGGCATATTTTGTGCCACTACTGTTTTACCTTTACCTCATTCCTTACCTAAAGTCTCCATTAACCTGGAGCAAACCATGTAGCTATATTTCAATACTGTATGTTCTACACTGTGCTTTTTTGTTTGTTTGTTTCCACTAATACATTTTCACTTGACAAGTGCTTGTTATAGGCTAAATCATACTCCGGTGCTCTAAAACAATGGATCATCTGACGTAAGAAGCTTAAAAACTTACTCTTTCCACTGCTTTGATTGCTCATTTGTAAAACAACTGCAAAATGCTGCCAAACAGCTTCACTGAATTTTCCACTAATGGTCAGGTGAATATTTGGCACAGTAAAAATAGGAAATCTGGGAAAGAATTGACACTTCAAGTTAGTTTCCAGCCTGAAGTCCATTTCCAGGTTAAGGAAGACCCCAAAATGAGACTGAACCTGGTCCGGAACACAGTTTTGTCTGTTTTGCCTGATGCATTTTTGCATGGTGCGTAGCACAGTATCTCTCTTTTGTACAAAGAATATATTGGTATTGCACAGAGAACGTCTTTTATGTGGATATAAATAATGGAAGAGAAGTCCTGGGAAGAAAAAAAGATAAAAACTGGGAAGAAAAGTCCTTTAAAACACTCTGCCACTCCGCATGACAAACTGGAATATTTTTTTTTGAAAGCTCAATACATTTTTCAGTTTGCTCACCAAGTTCTGAAGCAGGAATGGACAGGTGTAAAAGAGCAGCCTCCTGACTGTCACGTTCTTTCTTTGCCTTCTGATTTCTAGAAGAAGGCTAGCATTTGTTCAAGAGGTGATACATTGCTTGCCTCACATGTTTCTCATCCACCCAGATACAGAACTGACTGTAACATCTCTTTCAGACACAAGTGTTCCAGAACAAAGAAATAATAACCAATCAGCAAAATAATATTCCCCCTTTTCCTATCATTTCTTGATCTCACAGGGTGAATCACAGTCTCAGCAGACAGTGTCTGTGTAAGACTTGGTGAACTCAGTGCAAGTCATCAATCTCTCTGCTACACACAAGGTGAGCTGATGAGCGTCTGACCCCTGTTTGCTCCCTCAGGGACCTGCTGACTGGATTTCAAAGTTTTCTCACACAGCCTGAGGCTGGGCTACTCATCAGCTGCATGCAAGAACATGAACAGGATCAGAGAAAGCTCTCAGAAAATTGACCCAACTTCTACTTGCTAGCAACGTGGAAGAAAAGCAAGTGCAACAGTGACGAGAATGACACCTTGTTTAAAGTCAGTCACTCAACAGAGTGAAATAAACCTGCAATGCTGCATTGACAAATTGTACACAGTGGTTCTCCCCATGATCCTTCAGCTGATAAAAGTTACCTGTATTTCCAACACTGCCACAACAGAGGATAAATTGATGATCAACCAATTGTAGGCCCAACTTTGTCTTTCATTTCAAAGGAAATGACTCCTTTGTATTACGTATACATGGACACACATGCACATCTCACTAGGATTGGGTTCATGGTCTGGGAAACCCACCAGCCCATCACTCTCAGGGTTCAGGAACCATTGTGATAAATGCTAATGCTTCCTAAAGCCATCAGCCTCGAGCAGTCCTGACACCTGCATGTGAACTACAGCATAGTCATGTTTTGTATGTCATATACTTTGACTCCAGGCATCCTTGAGAACAAATTAAATTATATAAAGTTGCTTACTCACCAGTTGCACTTTTTTATTAAAAGCTTAGCAGGATGAATGACCTCAAAAGGCCAACACTCAGCATGAGACAAGAGAGAGAAATCCAGCATGGAGGGGACATTTTAACCTGTTTGTTGTTAAGGGACAAGGTTCATCACCACAGATCAGATCATCTCATCTCCACCTGCAACAAACCTATCTACATCATCAGAGCTTTATCTGCAATTTTTCATCCTAGAAAGCAAAGCCAGCAAGCCAGAAGGATTACCAATCTTTTCTTGCTGTGTTAGTCCTGTCATGCACTTCTGTAAAGGCTCAGCCTGATGCAGTGAGCATCAGCCCAGCAGGTTTCACGTCAGTGCTACCACCTGAAGTAACTGATCAAGGAGACAGCCACAGGAGTTTTAAAATACATACAGTAAGTCCTCAGGTGGCAAGATAAAGGTGTTTGTGATTTTTTAAGTCATGAATCTGCTTGATAAATTCCTCAGTCTGTCACTGGCTTTTATGTTAAGAGGAAAATGTAGGTTTTTGTGTCTCAAAACTTTCTCTAGAAATTCTATTTCCAGATACACAGGACCGTTCATTCCCCTGGGGACAGTGAACCCACCAATGGAGGGTGAGCGGAGCTACCTTCATCATTTCTATCAGGCTAGTCAGGTTTACAGCACTCACCTTAAATCCCACTGCCAAATACAGGTAAGACTTGAAGCGGGAGGAGGATGCATTTCCATGGACTGTCTTCCCAGTGGTGATTTGAGGTGTGGGGTTGCCAGCTCCCAGGCAGACCTTCTTCCTCCCACCTCCACCACGCTCTGCTGCAGCAAGACAAGTGCTTCTGTGAATATGCTGTGGACTGGATCCCAGTGGAAAGTAGCCCTTCAAAAATAGCAATTTTTTAACTGAATCATTTTCCAAATCACACTCTAAAATTACTTTCCTTCCTGGCAAGCTCCCTGCAGCTCTCTGGTTCACAGGCGAGTGTGGATTTGCAGGCTGCAGGTTTCTCGAGAGCTGCATCCATCCCATTCTGATTGAAATAATACAGACTGGGGGATGAGAGGCTGTAGAACAGCCCCATGGAAAGGGATTTGGATGTTTTGGTCAATGACGATTTGAACATGAGTCAACAGTGAGCCAGGGCAGCCAAACCCCTTAACCTGAGGTGCGTTAAGCATAGCATAGCTACGGTTGAGAGCAGCAATTGTCCCACTCTACTCTGCACTGGTGTGGCCTCACCTCAAGTACTGTATGCAGTTTTGGGTACCACAATACAAGGACATACAACTATCAGAGAGTGTCCAAAGGAATGCAACAAAGATAGTGAAGAGTCTAGAGGGTAAGATGTATGAGAAGCAGTGGAAGTCAGATGGATTGTTCAGCCTGGAGGAGAGACTGAGGGGAGGCCTCATGGCAGCCTGCAGCTCCCTCAGGAGGGGAGCAGAGGGGCAGGTGCTGAGCTCTGCTCTCTGGGGACAGCGACAGGACCCGAGGGAACGGCATGGAGCTGGGACAGGGGAGGGTCAGGCTGGGAGTTAGGAAACATTTCTGCACCCAGAGGTGGTCAGGCACTGAGACAGGCTCCTAAGTGGTCATGGCACCAAGCCTGACAGAGTTCAAGGAGCATTTGGACAATGCTCTCAGACCTCAGGTTTAATTTTTAGGTAGTCTTGTGCTGAGTCAAGAGTTGACTCAGTGACTCTCGTGGGTCCCTTTCAACTCAGGATATTCTATGATTCTGTGATTGACTATGGGGAACACGTGTTCAAAAGAAGCCAGCATGCAATAAATCTCACCTTAGCAGAGATTTTTTTCCAAAAAGCTTCTCTTCTTTCTTCCAAGTTATTGACAAGAGAAATGGCAGGCTGCAGCACGCCTTCACAGCCTAATTGGCCATTCATTCCTTTCAAAATAAACAGCCCTTATCTTGGGGAACTGAAGAATACCAATCTGTTCTGAAAAGTCTGGCTCCAGTTGTGTTGAACAAGGTGAGCTAAAAGAAAAAAAAAAGAAAAGAGAGAGAAGTGATTATTTGGTTACCTATTATGCTACATGAATTCTACAGATGGTTGTGTATTCAGAAAATATCCTTTATAAGCTTTCAGAGACATTATGGAGTTGTTTTCCATGGAGCTTTAGAATACTGCATAGCCATTTTAAAAATCCCTTGAATGTCTAGACACTGGCAGATTTCCCTACACAAAGTAATAATGGAAAGAAAATTAGCAAAACAAACAGGAAGAACATAACCCACCAGAGTGGAAGGTTTGGCCATTAAAGTTGCATGTCACCAAAGACAGAGATGAAAATAAGTCATCCGCATGCTGAACAAAATGCACAAGATGCTGGGTGCCTTCAGCTTCCATTGGCTTTACTGGCAAGTAAGTGTACACTAATGTTGTTTGAAATTAGCTAGCAAGCCAAAACTCACATGTGGCTGATTCCTACTTCTTCCCCTGAATTGATTTTGAGTTTGGGAATAAAAGAAAGGGTTCTCAAAGGATTCCAAAGTTTGTTTCATCAACTTCTTCAGCTCTGCTCTGATGACAGACTGCTACCGATGGAGTAACAAAGCATTATACGGCACAGAGCTACCTGATAAACATTCCTGCCAGTTTCAAGACAGACTGCAGCTATAGCTAACCCCACTGGCTGCAGTAGCTAACACCTATCTTCAAGACAAGCTATGAGCCTGGTTGTTTTCTCTCTCCCCTCGCCAGAAGATCACCCCAATGCAGGTAAAAGATAAGAAATGTTATATGGCTGTTCAGGTCACTGTTCTGGTATTGTGTTTCAGAACCCACCAAAATACTCCCAGAAGAAGAAGTGGCATTAAGAATGTCTAAGGTACCACCACAGGTACCAAGACCAAAAAAAAGTGAGGAAGAGCACCACTGTGTATTGCATGCAGTTTGTTAAAGCATCCAGACTAACCAAAAGACGATTCAATGAAAAGTAATTTCTTTGTCATGCATTATAAATCAAAAACTAAACAGTGTTGGACAGTATGAAGAGTAAAGGAAAAGCAGCTGCACAACAATCACAGCTACAGTAACATTTACAAATCTATAATTTGTCTTCAGTCATCATTACAGTAGAAAATATGTCAGGTTAGTTCAAACCAGCCATACACTTTAGGTCAGGAACTGTACTGCACATCTATATTCATATTGCTGAGGACACCTCCAAGTAATTACTTGAGACAATTCCATTCCAAGATAGTGGTTAAAAGCTGCTAAAGTACCCACATATTATTTTTTTCACCCACAAGATATTTGCTGCAGTATCAGAGGGGACATGTACAAGTGAAGCTTGTACTGAAACCAAGCATCCAACTGTGGAGGTCTTAGTATCACCAAGGTCAAAAGAAGTGGCCTTGCTGACATGATTGTGAGTCACACAGTCAAACCAGCAATGGGAATTTAATGATTTTGCCTACAAAAGAGAAGGAGAACTGTTCCCTTGAAAGGAATAACTGTAGCTGGGCTGTTTTAAAATACCATACTAAACTTTATTCTCTAACAACAGGACATGATGTTCAGTGTTATGACCTATTTTCAGACAATGGTTTAATTAAACATTTAATGAAGGCATCTCATTTCTATGCATGAGCTCCACTCTAAACAACCAAGCTAATAATGTAAACATCACTGTTTGATTATTAAAATAATTGTTTTCATGAACACCAGCCCTCTGACAAACAAAATAGCTGATACTATGCGTATGAACAGAGGAAGCTGGGCCCCAGTAAACCCACAGTGCAGGAATCCAATTTTAGCAAAAAAAATAGATGTACAGTTGACCATCAGCACTGAAAAAATTACTAGGCAAATATTTTAAAACACAGTAATATTTTGGCCAAATGCATGGTGATTTTTTTTTCAATTAATCAAGCACATTTATTAAAATAATCATTCATTTAAACAAACAACTGCCTTTAGGAATTCTCCCCATGTCAAGATGCAGCAGAGGCTTCAAGACATTTCCTCAAACTCTGGTATCTGTATCAGATTAACAGAAACTGGGACCTTCCTTTAAGGCAAAGTCCTGTAGAGGATTTGTATCCAGCAAAAGGAGGTTTCCAAAAGTTAGTTGCTTAGAAAAGAACTATGCATTTTCAGCAAGAACTTTAATAAAAAATAAATGGACATTTCTTCCCCCCCCTCCTCTGAGCCCTAGCTTTATAGCTAAAAAAAAAAATAAGTATTATCGCAAAAACAGTGACAAATTTCAAGATTTAAGTAAAAATTTTAGTGAAATGAGTTGTCAAAACATTTTGAAAATGTGACAAAGCTCTAATTCTTAGAAGCTAAGATTCAGTGATGCATAGAGTATGGTATTTTCAGTGCTGGAGTAGCTAAACCGTGTTCTTTGGTGATTAAGTTTCTTTCTTTCTTCGTGAAAAAGTTACTGGTGCATCTCCTATCTATTATGTGATTCCAATCAGCATCTTAGCAGCAGATCCCTTCATAGACAGGACATCTCCTGGAAGGTCACAGACTCCAAAGTCAGTCAGCTTCTAGTGCCGGTAAAAGGTTCCATTATGGGACCAGGCATGTCATACACAAGTTACAGAAACTTTTCTAACCATCTGCCAACTAAAAACTTCATTGCTTTTTCTCAAAAGGTGAAATTGCTGTGCACTCCACAGAGTTGGACACTCATTTTTTAATGTTTTCAATGAAAAAAAAAATCAGAATTATTTCCTCTGTAAAGACATAAATACCATGAATTTAAACCCCAATATTCACCTGCAGCATCATAATTTCTGTGAATTCAAATAGATTAGATTAGCTTTACAGAAGCTGACACGGTAGATTGCACATAATCAGTCCTGGATTACCAGAGTAGAAATTACAGACACTGAGTAGCCCGTATCTGAACTATTACCTTACACTTGTTTAGATGGGTTTTCATTAGGTATGCCATACTTTCCTAATTCTTTTCACTTCTTTTGTCATTGAAATATGCTCTTACTTTTACAGTTATTGACTTTGTGGTTTATTGGTTTAATTATTTTATTTTTATTTGGTTTTAGCATTTTTAATCATTACCAACTGACACTGAAATAAGAGCCACTTTTTTTTTTACACAAGTGTAAATGTGTTAAGGGCTATTTAAACATGACATTCAAGTACCTTGTAAACTAAGTTGTTGCATTTTATCTGTCCTCTTTTCCTGGAAAGACAGCATAAGTGCAAACCCAAGTCATTTTCTTCACTTGGCGAGGACGAACAGTCTGTTAGGAATGGAGAAGTCTCCTGTTACTGATATGGCCAGAAGATAACTGCCCACAACATGAAATCTCAGGGCAAAAATTTCAGCAAGATCTATCCAATCCCACATAAGAAATAAATGTGTGAAGAACTGCTATGGAGAAGTCCTAGGGACAGAAAATAATAATTTGGAAAAAGGCATCAACCAAGTAATTTGCCTGTGTGAAAACATACAAAACCCGAATTTAATAAATGAATAAATATATAAAAGGAACTAAACCCCGTCCATGTGAAGCTGACAGTGGCAGCTGTAAACTGTAAGGTGTATTTGCTCTTTCAAACCCTGATCTTTCCCACGTTACCGTCCCATGCATGCCTGTTTGCACGACTGTCATCACTCCCATCCTCTTTGCAGTACTTTCTCGGTGTGAATTTCCATTCCCTTTCTCTAAAAATGCAACTCTTGTTATTCACTACAAGACTCTCAGGAAAGGACTGCAGTTCTTACCGCAGCCTAATGGGTGAGAAAGGATGTCGGGCTTGTTCTGAGGATAACAGCGAAGAAACTATCCACAGGGTTGGGGAGGGAAAGGACCTTTGAGATGCTAGCTAAAACTGGTTAAGAATTTGGCACCGAAAACAAGCTATAACACGGTGCTGGGTCTAACTTTGAGCAGCCCAGAAACGGGAGTGGGGTCAGAAGGGGTAACCCGTGCACCTAAAGATGGCTGAACTAAACCCATTCCTGCTCCCTCGGCCAGCACCGGCTCACTCGAAAACACCTCCCCGAGCAGCGGGCACCGCGATGAGATAAAAGATTTCCCGGCGAGGAGCAAAGCCCCGCAGCTCCGCGGCGCTCACCCGCATCCCGGGGGCACCGGGGGGGCTGCCGCTTTGGCAGTGCCCCCCCGGGGGTGCGGACTCCCGGGGGGTGCGGACCCCGTCGGGCCGAGGGGACCGGGGCTACCGGGGCTACCGGGGAGGCCGAGGGCCCCGAGGGGACCGAGGGGGCCGAGGGGGCCGAGCCGCCCCGTCGGTCGCGCCGCCCCCCGCCCCGCTCCGTCCCGCCCCCAGCCCGGCGTGGCGGCCCCCGGGGGCGCGGCGGCAGCGGCGGCCGTGCCGTGCCGGGCCGGGCCGTGCCGTGCCGGGCCGGGCGGCGGCTCGGGGCAGGCCGCCCGACGGGGATGCGGCTCCCCGGGGGCCGCGCCTGCCGCTGCCGCCCCCCGCCCGCCGCCGCCCCATGGGCACCGCGCTCGGCCGGCCGGGGCGCGCCGGCGAGGCCCCGGGGGCGCGGGCCGCGGCGTCGGGCTGAGAGCGGGCGGGCGAAGCCGGCGGCCCCGGGGCTCCGGCGCCAGGCTCGCGGGCAGCCCCGGCGGGGGATGACTCAGAGCCGCGGCCCCTGCAGCGAAGCCGCGGCCCCTGCGGCGGCGCCGCCCGCCGCGCCGCGCCTCCCCCCCGCATGCCCGCGGCCCCCGCCGCGCCGCGCCGCCGGTGATGCCTCCGCGGGGGGCGGCGGGCGGCTGCCGCCGGCGGCGCCTGGCGCCCCTCAACGAGGACAACGGGCGGTTCCTGCTGCTGGCCGCCCTCATCGCGGCGTACCTGAGCGCCGGCGCCACCGTCTTCTCGGCCCTCGAGAGCCCGTCGGAGGCGGCGGCGCAGCTGCGCTGGAACCGGACCCTGCACAACTTCAGCCGCATCTTCAACATCAGCCTGCCGGAGCTGCGCGCCTTCCTGCGGAGCTACGAGGCCGCCATGGCCGCGGGCATCCGCGTCGACGCCCTGCGGCCCCGCTGGGACTTCCCCGGCGCCTTCTACTTCGTGGGCACCGTCGTCTCCACCATAGGTGAGCGCAGCCCCGACGGCGAGGCGCGGGGGCGCGCCCGGGGAGCCCCGCGGCCGCGGCCCGGGGCCGCCGGTACAGCCACGCGGGTTTGGGGACCGCGTTGCCCTGGCAACCGGGACCCGACCGGGGGCATCCCCCCCGATCCTCGGGGACAGCCCCAAATCCTCCGGGGGCACCCCCAAATCCTCCGAGGGTCGCGGCTCCCACCCGCCCCGCGCTTATCCCGGGTCGTTCAGCGCCGCGCCCGGGTCGCGCCGGGTCCCGGGCAGCCCCGGGACATCCCTCGAGCATCCTTCGGGCATCTCCCGGGCATCCCTCGGGCATCCTCCGGGCTCCACCGACCCGAAAGCCCGGCCGCGGGTGGTCCCGGGGTCCCGGGTGGTCGCTGCCCACGGGGAGCCCCCGCGTGTGCCCGGTGGCGTTGGCTGCACCGCCGGACTTGGTGCTGGTTTTCGGTGCTGATAAAGTTAAGATAAGGTGTATGAATAAAGGCACGAAATCTACAAACCTTACATCTCGTAGCCCTATAATAATAATACGCATTCCCAGTACATCGCTGGCCACAGCAATTGCGCGTGTCCCATCAGTGCTTAGACATTTGCCTGATGAGCAAAGAATGGGTTTCTGGGGTTGGGAGGAATTTTGTTTTACTCTAAAATTGCCCCATTGAGAACTGTTGTGTGGGAGATTTACTTTAAGTACGTTTCTGGCTTTCTATGGCTTGGAGAATTGCTTTTAGAAATCGTGTCCCTGCAGAAAGATCACGCTGATTTTTTCACTCTACCAGTTTTTAAGTTTTGTAACAAGCCAATTGTCCTGGGGCTGCGGAGCAAAGATGCCATACTTTCTGTTTATTAAAAAAGAAAGAAACCTACAGCTCATTATTGCACACACTTTCATTTCGTTCAGAAAATGTTGTATCAATAGTGACTAAGCTCTGTAATAGAGCTGTGATGATGACTGTAACAACGTTGTCAAGTTTTGTTACTTTTTGCATTGAATAATCCAGTTAAGTTTTCCTCTTCGAGTCTATTCAATAACCCAGTCGTTAAAACACCTTTTTACTCAACATCGTGAGGCCTTCTTTATCAAAGGAACACATATTTTTGAAAGACCATTGTTACTAAGCTGAATGGATGGAAAAAATGGTCAATATATTAACAAGAGCTGCTCTGTCCTTACAGCTGCTATACCAGAGATGTTCAACTGCAGATTTGTTCACTTCTCAACCCCCAGCTTCTTTTACTTGTGGCTATTAAAATGTAAAACGTTTCCTCTTCATTTGCAAATAGTTGTTTGTGTCTCCACTTCATTGCTCTGCCTGCAATCATTTGTACCTGCACAAAGGGAATGAAAAACTCAGCAGTGTTTACAGCAATCTTGACAGGTGTAAATGGGTGAAGCGAGTATTGTATTTCTCATATTCCTGCAGTGCGACCTAAAGCATCGCACTGTCTTTATAGCCAATAATGTGTATATCTTGGGTGCAAGATGGAGACTGAAGATTGTTTTTCCTGAGCTACAACAAAGGCCCGACTCTGCCAAGCATTCGCCAGGGTACTGCTTTCTCTTGGCACACGTCCTGCTAGTTCTTATTTCTGGATTCCTCACATGGCTTCCTGTGATTTCAGTGAGATTGTGCTAGAGCAAAGTTTTGCGCTGGGTGAGGAGATGCAGCAAGAAGTGAAGACTGAGCTGTGCCTTTGGGCACACCAAAGCTGTTGCAGGGTGCCAGAGGAGTAGCAGCCCCAGCAGGAGCAGCATCTCTTGGAATACCTGCACCCTGAGGCTGTTGCATCACAGCATCACTGTACCCATGTGCACAGCACCTGCAGAAGAGGAGCTGCTGCCCCATTGTGTTACTCCTCTTTTCTTGCCTCTTCAGGCTGCTGCAGCTGGTTAAGAGAGGCAGAGCCCGAGGTGGGGCCAGCTTCTTATTCATGGGCTAGGTTTCTTCTACCACAATTGTGTACATCTATTGTTACTCATCGTATTGGCTCAGCAAAAAATAAATAAAAACAACAACAAAATCCTCAGTGAAATGTGCCAGAAAGCTGTCTTGCTCACACTGCCGGCAAAGGATAAACTAAGTGGTAGACATCAACGCGTCACCCAGGGAAATAGTTTCAAAGCCTTTCTTTCATAGTCCCGTTCGTCTCTGAGCTAGCTCGATTAAATACCTAGCTATCTGATCTATCTTTGATTCCACTGTCAGCTGAAATACCTTATTATCCTGGTTCAGAGCAATTCCACTTGTGTTCCTGTCACAATTCATTGACAAGGAGAAAGCTGTCTTTACTTAACTTCACCTAGGACTACCAGACATTTCGAGTCAAAACAGCTTGCCTTCCCCAACTGCTTCATCAGCTACATATGTCAAAGCAGCTTTATTACTTCAGCCGAACCACACGTCTGTCTTAGCAACACATCAGAAAGCTTCACAAAAAGTAGATGCCGTCTCTGTCAAGCTAAAATCACCCATGGGTTACTCTATCTCTTATCTGTGAAGGATTCCAGTTCAGAGAAAACTCACCGGGCCATCTCAAGCCCTCATTCTCCTGTCCCTAGCTCTTACTCTGATGCAGTCCAGTGCTCCTGAACAGGTGCTCCACTCTCTCATCCCATCTGTACAGTGAAGGTACAGGGAAAACTACCCCTCTATTTTCAGGTGTGGGGCTTGGGGAGAAGTAGCTGGCCTCCACCTGGCTGGGGACAAGGGCTGATTTCTCCACCCTTCTTGAGCAGGACCTTTGTTCTAATCTGCTTCCAGTTAGGTGCTTCATCTCTTGTATTACCTTGGCTGTACTTCTGCATCTTGCATAATTAAAAAGTACAAGACACAGCCAAGCCCCTGGGTAAGAAACACATTAGTGAGGTCTTCAAGAAATGAGAGAGTTAATGTTAAGTCTAATATTTCAGCATTTTCCTGAATAGCCCACAAAGTGACTGACTTACAGTCCATAAAACACCCTCTTGATAGCACTCTGGGCATTCGTGTTTTATTATTGCATTGTTTGTGGTTGAATAATGAAATGCCAAATCTATTTTTCATTAAACGTGTCTAGATTTTCAGAACTATGTAAGAAAATTTTTCAGACTAGCTTCAGATTGCTTGCTGTCAGTCTACACCATTTATTTAGTCATTTCTTTGCTCTTCAAAAGATATTTTTTTGTATTCAATTGATAGCATTTATGCTCTGATTTCTTTAAGGAGCAGCTGGGTGAAATATATTCTTGATTCATTGGTCTAACTGGCAGTAGACTTTGTTTTTCAGATCATTTTTTTTCCTTCCTCAAATGCAAATCACAAATAGTTCCCAGCACATCGTTAAAGGCTGAAAGCAAAGCATAACTCAAACAAGTTTTCTCCCTGGTAAAATGTTGCAAAGCCCAGCCTAATCATTTATAAATTTCCTGTATTCTAGTAGCACATATATATTCTGCTTAGCACATAAGGCAACTTCTGGATGTCTGAAGCACTGAATTTCTTGGTCGATGAGTCTAGTCTCTACCCAGATTTCTTCCTTGTCTTAAATGTTAGAATAAACACTAAGTGCCTACCTATGGAAACATATTGAGACATCAGCTCATTATGAAGTTTGGATTTTAAGCTTCTAATGCAAAAATGATTTTTTCAAAATCCTTTGGAAAATGAAATAATTGTTTTGGATAAATCCACGCCAGGCAAAGATTTTTCAACATAAGATTTTTAAAATGCACCCCTACAGCAGATGGATTATTTTGAGATACAACATGTCTGGGCGCTTGAGAAAAGGCCACTGTGAAGAAAAGGAGTGAAGATCTTCAGATCTTCCCGTCTGTACAGCCGTGTGAGGGTTGCAGGTATTTAGGGCATGCCCTTTAGGCATGAGTAGGATCCATTCCTCTTTCCATCACGTATCCTGTTAAATGACAGCTCCACCCAAAGTGATGGGGCACACTCTTCTTCACTTTTATCACAGAGAGGTGACAAAGGGACAGCCTTGAAGTGAGATGAGAGATAAGGCTCTTGCCTTATAAATGAACCTACATGTAGAGAGGCCACTTAATGAGAAATGTTTGGTATTTGTTATTAGCTACCAAGTTCCCTGCAGGTGCACTCACCTTATTTAGGATCTCCTCTTTTTTAATTTAAAGCCATTCCCCTTT